AAGGTGCACATTACCTCTGTAGCGAGGGATGCATCCGTATGCCAACTGCACCCTTCTTGATAGGGAAAGAGAATTTTGGATTGGACCTTAACAGTAGATAAGACAATAATGGGTGGATGGATGGTCCACAGAGAACGTGGGCCGAGGTGCACAAATCTTTGGGTCGTACTGTGCAGAAACAGAAAGAGAGCAAGACAGCAGTAAGTACGAAGGCAGACTCTAGGGTCTACCATCCAAATATGTGAAATTTATTTTGCTGATAAATAAGGATAATTTTAGGGGTTGCTTTTGAATTTCTCTGTTATATTTTCATGAAATTCCTGCCATTTAAAACTCCGGTTTTTTTTGGCACATATGCCATGCTCGTTGCTGAGCACTATGCATCTACTCCCTCGGTGAAAGAACTGCTTAGGCAGATTTTTTTAGGGTGTATAGAGCCGAGGCTCTAAACAATCAAATTAGAGCCCACCTTCAAATAGTATTGATAAATGTAGTTTTAATATTGGAAATTTTTGTAATAGCCTTTAAATATATTTTCATAATTAATTATAAAATTTTCAATTTCGAAAATAGTGTAGATCGAGCATGTCTATGAAAATCTTGAAAATTGACAGCCAAAAAATGCATTACAAGATGCACTATTTCCAAAACTTGAAATCTATTTTTTTCTCATGTCCATGGATTTTGATGTCGAGATGATCAATTTAATGATATTTGGGCATCAAAACAACCTCTTCGAGTGAAATTTTTGAAAAAAACTCTAATTTGATTGTCTAAAGACTAGTCTCTGTATAAACTTTTATCTTTTTTTTACTAAGAAAAGGTTATATAGAGCCTAAGCTCTAAACAATTAAATTAGAGCCTATCTCAAAACTTTCATTAAAAGAGGTTGTTTTGATGCTCAAATAGCATCAAATTGATAATCTCAACATCAAAATGCATGCACATGAGAAAAAAATGGCTTTCAAGTTTTAGAAATAGTGCATCTTGTAATGTATTTTTGGACCATCAATTTTCAAGATTTTAATAGATCTGCTCGATCTATATTATTTTTGAAGCTTTAAATTTTATAACTAAAGATGAACATATAATTTAAGGCTATCACAAAGATTCTAGTATTGAAACCATATTTCTAGATACTATTTTAATCTGGACTCTAATTTGATTGTTTAGAGCCTCGGCTCTATACAAACTGCACGCTTTTTATGGGTTGGTATAGCGTCCATAGCACGTGGACGCTTAATATGTGAACATCCCCTTTTAATGGTAACGAGATTTTTATTTTCTTATTTAAGAATGATATCAATATGAAATTTTGGTTTTAGTTTCATTTTTTATAAAT